AACACAGCAAACATCACAATATTCCAAGTAGTAGCGTTGATCAAATGGGTTTCTACCCTTGCGATGGGCGTTAGAGGGTAGCAATTCTGCATACGAGGTCCGAACGAGGCCCGTGTCATACATCGCGATGGTCATGGGGTCTGTACGAAGGTGGGTCTATGTTTGCCTGATGGGGACGCCTAGTCGACGACGGATTGAGTCTGAGAATGGGTGAGTCAGACATAGTTGGAGTGAGTCCGAGCACGAGTGGGTCTGAATATTGCTTAGTGTGAACGCGAGTGAGTCTGCGCATGAGTGATCTTAGTATGAATGAATATGACGACTGATTGTGAACGAGTCTGTACGCAAGCGGAACTGAGTAGATTGGTCCGAGCTTGAGTGAATCTGAGTGGGTCTGAGTATGAGCGAGTCTACGTGTGTATGTGTGTGAGAGAGTTTGAGTGGCCTGAGTATGAGCTGGTCTGAAGATAAATGAGTCCCAAAGAGGAAGCGGGAGTGAGGATTAGGGGTGCTAGTAAAATTAAGCATCACGTCCCTGGTATATGGGAGGAGGCTGGGGAAGGAGGACATTAGCGAAACCGAGGCTGGGATTAGCCTGAGCCCCCAACAGGGCAGAATGTGGGGCCCTGTGGGGGCCTCTCAGAAGATTCCCGGCGCCATATGGGGTCTCCCTTGGTACATTCTTTAGAGCTTTTGGGACTCTTTTGGGGCTCACTCACTTGGAACCCTTTCGGGTGCCTGTGGGGGTCTCTTGGGCCCATCGTGGAGGTAAAAAAGGAGTGGTCCCAATGGAGCACCGCCTCTTTGGAGTCAGACAAATCGCCACTTTGCCCGCTCTTGGGGCTCTCTTGGGTTGCTCTTGGGGCTCTCTTGAGGTGTTCTCGGGGCCCCTGAGGGCACCTTGGAGTCATCTTTGAGTCCTCTGGTACTCATCGGCAGCAAAAGGCGAGAACCATTGAAACGCTTTGTTTTGTTGACGAGGTTGACCTCTTGGTGGCATTTCTGGGAGGCTCTGAGGCCACATCGAATGATCTCGCGGTGGACTTGAAGCCTCTTGGAGGAATGCTCGAGCCCGTAGTGGGCCAACGTGGATCGGATTGCACCGTTTGGGAAGTGACCTTAGGCTACCCGGAGCCATCTCGGGGCCACCAAGGGCCATCTTGAGCGCCCTTTCCAGACCGTTGGGATGAGGTAGGGGTAGGGATAAACTTCGCCAGGAAGGGCAAGGAGGACTTGTTTCGAAAGAGCCGATGCGCTTAGCTAACTACGCCCAGAGGGCTGGTGGGACCAGGTAGTTCTTAAGTTTTCAGGTCTGAATGAGCACAGCAGTGATCTCTCGGGTTCTCAGGCTCTGAGGCCTTAGCAAGCTCTGCAGAGCACAGCAGGTTACCCAGTTGCTGAATTGCCAACTCGATTCGAAACTTTGCCCGCGCAGCCTGATGGCCACGCCAGGAGGCCCGCGCCTCAGCTGCCAACGGCCATGCTTCGTCGCGTAGCTGCTGAGGGTGTGGGTTGCCCAAAAAAGCCTGCTCCGCGCAGCCTGGATGCCCCGCGGAGGGTTCGGCGGGTTCCTCGCTGGCTTGTTCAACGCGCTCATGGGCGTCATTTGTGTTTTGATGTCGTTTGGCATCAAGCCTGACGTCGAGTACATGGCGGTGGGCCTTTTGGGGCCTCAGAGGTATGCCTCGTCAGACGCCTCTTCGGGGTCCGATCCAGGAGGGCGAACACAGTTCATGAAGGCAGAGGCTGCATGGATGCAGATGAAGGAGCAGTTGTCTGGAAAGGCATGTAGAGAACTCTGGGCGCTTCACAAGCAGGCAACCGAGGGAGACTGCAGAGTACCGAAACCCGCGGGCGTCTTCAACGGGGGCGAGAAAGAGCAGTGGCGCTTGTGGATGAGCCTGCAGGGCATACCGGCGGAGCAGGCAATGGCGATGTTCGCGGAGAGGCTGCAGAGAGAGGAGGACAGCCTCTGAGCACAGCTGGTGGAACCCACCGCTTCGATCACCAGTCTAATCCTCCCCCTCCTACCCCCCCTTGCCTTGGCGGGGCACCCTGGAGGAGGCGGGAACCGGGTCACCCGCACCAGCGCGTAGACAATTGAGCTTCGCGGCCCGGGCCAGAGTGGCGCCCTTCTCCATGGGGGCCGCGCGAGAGCGCGCTGGCGCCTCAAGCGGTGCGATGCGCGAAGCTGGGTGGCGGCGAGGGTCGGAGACGAACATACACGCCGGTCGTTGAAAGCAGGTTGATCTGGACTCCCAGATCCCAGTCTACTGCAAGCGCCTTCCCGCTTCAAGAATCGGCATGCTCTTGCTGTGCTCTGTTACTCTCTGGGAGGGCCTGGACCCAACCTGCTATATCCGCCTTCCTGCTTCATGTTTCTACCTGCTTCTTCCGACCGACGTGTATGCACAAACAGGTGGCACGTGTGCCATGGCTCTTGCACAAAAGGGAAGGAGGAGGAGGAGGAGGAGGAGGAGGAGGAGGAGGAGGGGAGGAGGAGGAGGAGGTCGAGAGGAGGAGGAGGAGGAGGAGGAGGAGGAGGAGCTCCGAGCTCCGCGCGGATCTCTTGGACAGGCGGCGAGAGCCCCCGCCCCTGGCGCGCAGGACGCGCCAGGGGCCAGCGCCGGGGGCGGCCGGCGCCGATCCAAGACACCCGCGCGGACCTCTGGAAGGTCGCGCGCGGGTTCCCCTCCTCTTCCTCCTCCTCCTCCTCCCTCCTCTCCTCCTCCTCCTCCTCCTCCTCCTCCTCCTCCTCCTCCTCCTCCTCCTCTCCTCCTCCTCCTCGACCTCCTCCTCCTCCTCCTCGCCTCCTCCTCCTCCCTCCTCGACCTCCTCCTCCTCCTCCTCCTCGACTCTCCTCCTGCCCTCCTCCTCCTCCTCCTCCTCCTCCTCCTCCTCGACCTCCTCCTCCTCCTCCTCCTCCTCGCTCCTCCTCCTCCTCCATCCTCCTCCTCCTCCCCTCCTCTCCCTCTTCTCCTCCTCCTCCTCCTCCTCCTCCTCCTCCTCCTCCTCCTCCTCCTCCTCCTCCTCCTCCTCCTCCTCATCCTCCCTTTTCTCCTCCCCCTGCGCTCCTCCTCTCCCTACAACTCTGTCTTCGTGCAGCTCTCTCTTCGTCTACGACCCTCCTGAAGAAGAACTTGACGGATCGATGCAGCAGCCCCTCCGGCCCCCATCCGCCGTTGTGAGGAGAGAGCCTATGGCTGGGCAGTCGCATTAAGACTCCGATGCAATCCCGAAGGGTTCCCTGAAACCCATGGCCACCTCTGTAACAAGTTTTTCTACAGGAGTGCGGCAGTGACGGCGAGGGAGGGGAGCATTGGACTGATTGGTGTGACGGTGGGTCCCCTGCCAGTCCTTGCGAGCTCGCGCGGATGAGGCAGGCAGGCCGCCCGACGCGGCGCCGGTGGCCAGGGCAGCCAAGCAGCCGGTGGTCAGAGGCGTGGGCACGGTGGGGCAGGCCGAGGGGGCGGCGGGGCGGCCTTCGAAGAAGGTAGGGGGCCTCATAGAAGGGCTCGTTCCCCCGGAGGAGGAGGAGGAGGAGGAGGAGGAGGAGGAGGAGGAGGAGGAGGACGAGAAAGGAAGACCGCACACGCATAAATGCTCGGAGCTCCGCGCGGTCTGCTTGGATCGGCGCTGGGCTCCCCTTGGCGGCGTCGCTGGTGCCGCCCCTGGCGCGCTCCGCGCGCCAGGGGAGGGGGTCAAGCGCCGACCCAAGAAATCCGCGCGAATGTCCGAAAGTTTACTCATACAGTTTCTCTTCGTCCAGTATGAGCTGCCGATCAAGCCTCTGGACCTTGGAAAGGGCCCGTGCGTTCGCATAAGGTCGCCCCCCTCGCCCGACTCCTTTGGCGCGCCGCAAGGGTGCGTCGGGCTGCTGAAAAGCCCACCGCTCATGTCTGGAGGTCGAAAGGTCCATTAACGCCGAAGCCAACCGCACATCGACCCCATCCTATTCTTTCTCCTCCTCCTCCTCCTCCTCATTCTCTTCCTCCTCCTCCTCCTCCTCAGCCTCCTTCTCCTGTTGTGTGCCCACTCGTTCGCCTCCTCCTCCCACTCCTCCATCACTTTTCCTTGTAAAGAACTCCTCCATGTCGCACCCCGAGACGTGTCGGTAGGGCGGGCCGGCGTTTCGCTTGAGACTTCCTCACCACTTCTGATTTTGAAGTTTGGAGTCTGCAACAGCCTGAAGGAAGAAGGGCGGGCCGTTTTCAACACGTGGCTCTCGCCTTAGAGCCGCGCACATTCGTTTTTGAAAGTTTGCAACAGCTTCACGGATGGAGGGCGAGTGGGTTTCAGAATAGGGTTCTCGCTTTAGTGCCGCACACATTCGTTTTGAAAGTTTGCAACAGCTTCAATGATGAAGAGCGGTGTCGTTTTCAGAATGTGGTTCTTGCTTTGGCGCCGCGCGTATTCGTTTTGCAACATCCGTGCAGCTTCCAGGATGGAGGGTGGGCTCTCGCCTTAGCGCCGCGCGCATTCATGGAAACAGGTTGCAACAATCTTTCAGGGATCCGTAAGGCTGAAGTGGCAGGAATGGTGTTTCTGGCATGCTTTGGGACTGGTCAGGGCAAAGCAGTCACGCCGATTCGCGGCGTTGGAGTCCCACGAAGCATGTTCTGGCACTACCTGGGGTTGTCAGGGCGCAGCGCTCAGATGGATTCGCGGCGCTGACGTCCCAGGCATGGCGCTTTGGCAGATGGAGGAGTATCCGACGGCTGTCTCTCAATGGGGCAATTCCCGCAATGAGAACAATTGCGTGTGGGGGCTTATGGAAAAAAATGGAGGGAGGGTGTATTGGCAGCATCGTTGATGCGTCTTGGGTTTGTCCTGGTCCTCCTCCTCCTCCTCCTCCTCCTCCTCCTCCTCCTCCTCCTCCTCTTCATTCATCATGCCCCTGGTTTCTTTCGTCCCTGGTTGGCCGCCTGCATCCCTTTCTCTTCGGGCTCAGTGTACTCTTCCTCTTCGTCCATTCCTGTCGTCCCTATCCATCTCCTGTTTTCCTTCCTCCCCCTCCTTCCTTCCTTCCTTCCTTCCTGCTACTCCTCTTCCAATCCAGGCACTCCAGTGGCGCACTAGGGGGAGGATGAGCGGAAGCGGGCGCCCAGAGGCCTCTCCCGAAGCCGCCGTCCCGAGGGGCTGGAGCACAGCAGGAGGTACTCAGCACGAGCACGGCGGAGCACGAAAGCGCCCCTCGTGGGAGCGGAGGGCTCGAACAATCAGGTCGAGCTCCCTCCCTTGGCGCGCTCTTGGGCCGTCTTGGGCGCCGTCTTGGGGCTCTCCTGGAGGCCTCGGCCCCCTGGGCCGTCTTCGACGCTGTGAGGATCGAGATCGACAGGGCGAATGAGCTGATAAGGTTAGTTCCCGCGGATTAGGGCGGTTGTCGCCTCATGAGCAGGAGGTATTTGAAAGGGCCACCCACAAGTCTCGTCGCAATTCACTGGACGCCGCCTGGTGGTTGTTGACAATGTGTCATCGTTGAGCGATCGTTAGCGGAGGAAGGCACGCGAGGCCCCACTTGAATCCGCCTGTCTGACAAAGCTTGCGCCGCATGGCTTGCACCGCTTGGCTGGCACCACACAGCTTCCACCGATCAGCTCGCACCACATGCACTGCACCACATAGCTTTCACCTCATCGCTTACATCCATAGCTTATGCGACATAGTTTGTACAACATAGCTCGCACCACATTTCTTACACACCATAGCTTGCACCATGTAGCTTGCACAACGTAGTTTGCACCACTTACTTTGCACGTCCAGGAAGCGCACTATGTCACAGCTGCACGAACCGTCGGATGTATGAATGGAAGCGCGCCGCGCAGCGACTTATCAGTGTATGTCAATGCGGGCATGCTGACAGTTCTTACTCGGCGTTCGCATCGGGCTTCCGTATGGACGTTTGCCAGAGCCAGGGTCGAGCCTAAGCGGGCGCCCGAGCGAAGCGCGCGCTTGGTTTCAGTATATGCAGTGCTATACAATACGACGACGACGACGACGACGACGACGACGACGACGACGACGACGACGACGACGACGACGACGACGACGACGACGACGACGACGACGACGACTACGACGACGACGACGACGACGACGACGACGACGACGACGACGACGACGACGACGACGACGACGGGAGTCAATCAAGAAAGCGTTCGCAGATTTTCTGCTCTGGGAGTTTCTTGGAGGCCTCTTCGGGTACCTCTTGGTGAGGACCTGGAGGCCACATGTAGCTACGCGCCTCCCGTTGTGTTTCACGACTCGGGAAGGCTCAGGACCAGGACCGCAGACAACTAGAAGGCTCGCTGGCGTGTCTTGCACGCGAGAGTAAGCGCACAAACTGAGAAACCTGGTTGCCAGCACATGCTCCACAGAGAGTTGTTGCCCCGACGGCCCCACGAACCCACAAAAGCTGTGGGGCACCTTGGGAGCCTCAAACATCGACGAATCATGCGCCCTACGATTTCTTATAGCAGCACTTATCATTTGCGTCTACTGTATTGCACTGTGTCCGAAAGCCTTTCGGAGGACTACGGTGAGCTCCTCAGGCAGCCTTTGGGGGATCGTTTTGGATGTAAGTGTGATGTATTTAGAGGCCTCGTGGAACCGTTTTGCAATACTTTGCAACTGATTCTAGGTTTCTTGCAGGGTCGCTCAGGGCCTCTTGGGAGCTTCTGGGATGCCTGCCGGCTGTCTCAGGGTTCCTCTTTGGGCCGAGGGCTCGGAATGTCAGTTCGTGTTCCCTCTCTCGGGGCTCTCTTGGGGCCCTCCTGGGCCGTCTGCGAAGTCTCTTGGACCGTCTTGGGGCCCTCTTGGGCCCTGTTGGAAGTCTCTTGGGCCGTCTTGGGGCGAGCTTCAAGCCTTTGGGGCAATCTTGGACGCCGCGCAGACAAAAAAAGCGAACTCGCTGAACACGCGCACGGTTTCCCAATGGAGTTGGGACGATTTTTGCTCCCGGGGCCCTCTGGGCTGT